AAATTTTGTTGTTCTGCAATATTTAATCATACACAAGCGACATTAAAATCGGGAAATCCTTAGAATTATGTGATCTCATGTGATTCTTCTCAATGATAAAGTAACGTTAGGATCAGAAAATCAACAAAAGTTATATAATCCACTTATCTCGTTTTTCTTCTCCGATCTTCGTATACGTATACCATATCGTAAAAATCGATCGTCTGACCTCTTTACTTCCTTTTTTCTTTTTTCAAATCATTCTTTTTTTTTAACGGAGTTAAGAAAAAGTTGGTCTCTGGACAAGTTTCACCGTACGGAAAACAGAGCAACGTTGCTTCGTACTGATAACAACGATCAGTCGATTTGCGTACCTTTACAAAGAAGAAAATGGAAATAAAATAAAAAGGTAAAGAACAAAAAAAAAAAAAAGGAAATGTATCATGTACACGTACAGCAAGAAACAGATTGTAGCTGATACAAACAGTCAGTCCGATTTTAAAAATCCCTTTTCCTTTTTCTCCTTCCGCCATTGTACGTCGACGTAACTGTAATTTTTAATCTCATTTGTTTGTTTAGATGTTGTCTCTCGGTAGTTTGGTTTAAGGTTTCGCGTTTATTGTTATACAGTGCCGAGTATGGCGTGGGTGATAGCGTTTAAGGGTTCTAATGGAAGGAATAATTGCGGCGAAACGAGGAACGAATGTTGATGAAGGAATGAAGCAAGTATCTATACGTATAAATAGACGTATATTATATATCTGTAACACATGTTCTATATGTTATTAAGACAATAAATGGAAGACCGATCGACAGTCTCTTCTTCTATCCTTGTAAGATATTTCTGGAATGTTAACGTTGTTTTATATTAATTTAGATTTAGTTTAAGAGTTTCGATTTACTACAGTCTCGTTTATTATAATTCGGTCCGATTGGAAAATTTAATCGTTACAAATGTATTATAGTAGATCGATCGTACGGGTTACATTTTATTTATCGTTGTTTATAATTATTTTATGCACGATTGAAAATACAAATTTGTCTTCTTTTCCTTTCTTTTGAAGTTTCTCACAGTCAATTGTAAAAATACAGATTGGAAATAGAAATCAGTTTGATTTTATCATTAGGTTTCTGTTACACCTCTGCATCGTTGTTATTAAAAATTGTATTTCGTTGCCTATAGATTTCGGCTGATGGTAATAATTCGAGCAAAGAGATCGTTAACTCTAAAGAATTTTCAATCATGAACAAGACAGACAAATCTGTTTCTGATATTGTTTAAAGTAATAGTAAACTGATGTCTAATGGCAATATTCTCCTTCGATATTTGTAATAATAAAAGACAATGAATATATGTCAATTGAGTAAATTTCGAACGAACTAATCATAATATATAGAGATATCTCAGAGAAAATAGTTATATGTTTAGCTTGGAGGATATCGTTCAATCGATTGTAAAAACAATGTAAAGGCAAGTGTCAGATTCAGCTCACGCATGATCTTCTTTTATTAGAACCTTATATGCGAGATATTATATTTAAAACAATTGTCGAGTAAAAATGACGCAGAAGCACGAAACTTATTTTTATAAGTAAAGCTAATTGAAGATTTATTATCGGTAAGTGTGACCTGGCAATCTGGGGTTACTTTAAACCTTAAGTTTATCACTTGGGTTGCAGATAGAACGAGGTACGTTGCGATTCCACGAATTGCACGATGTCACTGTTTTCTTCGCGGCACAGTATTCTTTCATTTTTTACTTTATCTACGTCCAAAAAACGTTAAGCCCCTAAAGAAAGAAAAAATAGTCTATGGAAATGACATGTACAATCCAGTTTCGAAGAATCAATCGAACGCTCGATAAAAGTAATTTTTTAGAAAAAATAATTTTCACAGAGAAAGAAATAACGATAAATGGCAATTGCCATCCAATGCTTTTAATTATAAAATTTATATTATTTAATAACGTCCATTATATTTTACTTTTAACAAATTATTAATTCATCAATTTTTGTTTTCCCATATTTTGAAGAAATTTGTAATCTTAATTTTGAGTTAGTGGCGCATTCATTTGGTAAATGAGAAATAAACATACAAAATAACAATAAAAATTGATCCAATAACTTTTTATTCGATTTAACTTTCCATCAAAATGTCCAAATTGTTATGTCTCTGTATTTCCATTACAATGTGTATCCCTTGTTCACTGAGCTTCTCGATTATGTATAACAACGACAAAGATCATTTTATTCATTTTTTTGTTTTTATACAAAGCAGCAAATCATAGTATAATTTTTCGTCGCAAGCTACAGAATAATCGAGCGGTTGAAAATAATTGAACTCTACCTTCCGGTTAGGCCAACATTCCACGTGTATTTTTAGAGTACTTTCAGCGGTGCCAAGTTTAGCTCGTGTATCGAGTTTGCATTGTTTTGCATTGCACAAGCGTTGTAGCTTTTGGAAACTTAATCTATATTCGTAATACACGGCACGAACGTTGTTGGTGGCGAATTCGATATGTTTTCCAGTGAATTTTAGTTACAGTCGTAATCTGGCCTGACACAATTATCGTCGATTGCGTTACGCTTATTAAAGCAATCAATTATTTGCTATAGACCCGTTGGTTTATAAATAAAATCCACAAATGTTTTGTCACGAAGTTATAGCCGGACACACGATATTGTTCGACAAACGATTAAATTAATTATATATTATTCTCGACTTTTGCAGACGATACCAATATCTTCTCTAATTTTTAAAGAACGTGTGATACAAAGACTACGTGCCAGAAGAAGATTTTGTGCAACTAGTAAAAATCGGTTTATTCTATTCTATGTTTGTTACTTGTTCGATCATTCACCTTTCACACAATCTTTTTTATCACCATTATGTTAATCTGAATTATATTAATCATAAGTACTGATATTAATTACCAACTTATCCAAACTAAGTGAGTAAACAAACTTCTACTACGATGTTCTATTTATTTCAAGCAATAACAGTCATACGATGAATGAATGATCTCCGTATTTTAAAAATAAAATATCCTTGGAACGACGATCAAGCAGCAGTGTTCCTGTTATGACAGATACTACGATAGCTATAAAAATGCTGTGATAGATAAAGGGAATACTAAGGTAACAAAGAAAAGGGTAAACAAATAATTAGAATAATTAAGAAATATTTCTTTTAACTTTGTAATCTCGCAACTGCTGAAAATCCAATTAGATTGTTAATCTTCTATTCTTTTGCGCGTATAATTATGTCGAAGTAAAAGTAACATTATAAGCAAGTCTAATACACTCAGCGACAGAACTATGATATACACGAGAATCGAGGAAGATTATACTTGGCTCGTCGTTAGAACTCGTTGATTTCTTCCTCCTTCATTCGTAGTGTTATTGTTTGCTTTATACGTATGGAAGCATACTGTTCAGTTCTATATACAGAAATACCGAAGTCTATAATTCCAAGAATTCAGACAATGCACGTAAACATGTTGTGTTCTCCGCGACAAAATTGTAAGATGATTGTTGTTTGCTAACGGGCTCAGAACGTAATACAAAGTGATTCGTGTGATTTTCACTGCGGTAATTGGTTTCATATTGTTGAACGTGCTATCTTATGGCGATTGTTATTTCTAGTATTAAATACACTCTGATTGTAAAATGCCTCGTAGAAGCAAACTAATTGGTAACTCGTAAGAAAAAGAAAAAAGAAAGGAAAAGAAAAGAATGTTTCCATCGGAAGAAGCAGCGCGCATATTAAAAAGGAGCCGCTGTGCTATACGTAACTATCTAAAAGAAATAAGAAACTGTATGTACTTGAAAAAACATTCTGCTGGGTGAGAAAACAAAATCTTATTGGACAGGAAAGACAAATTGATGGAGGAGGTATTATGGTGTGGATAGCTATAAGTTACGCTGGTAAGAGCAATATCAAGCTTGTTTCTAATAAAATGAGCAGTAAAATATATTTCAAATAATCCAAGAACTGTTAATCGAATATGCCTGTCAAATGGCTGTAGAGAATTTTATTTTTCAAATCACGACGATTCAAGCAAAGTACGCTAAATTTGAAAACAGAAGATATTGAAGTATCATCATGGCTCGCTAGATCGCCGGATCTGAAGATTGTGAAAAGTTACGAGAAACAAAAATGGTACTACACGCTATTAATAAGTAAATATAAATTTCCATTTATTTTGCAAAAAAGTATTCCGTGTCTTATAGTTTCGTCGCACTGTTTTTTCATTGAGAAATCTGCAATTGTAAATAATCTCTATTTAAATTGGAATTATTACAAATATTTTTATCGCAATATATCTGTTTACTGAAGTAGTTCAATAGTTGTACTTTGGTGGTTCTGCAAAATTATGTATTTATATGATATTATCCATTAAAATCTCTTTTTCTAAATAAATAATAAATGTCTTGTAATTTTGTCGCAGAGTGTATATGTTATAGTAAACGTTCATATAGAAGCAGACAGAAATTTCATTTGTATCACATTCTTTCGCTATAGTAAGAATAGATGGATATCGTTATAGATTGAGAAAAAAGAATTCTTATAGTAATTTTATGTTTCTCTTGTCGATAAGAATGATATAACAATATCTTTACACGAGAGGAAAACTTCTGATGTTGCACATTGTTCTTCATATCAACGAAAGACACCTAAAGTTAATTTTTAATCCTTTTTATACATTTAACACATTCGTCGCTACTGGCGCAATTACGTCAATTTAATTATCTAAATACTTAACTGTAATTTTCTTATTTAAAATTTAATTGTCAGACTTTAAGTAACGTTAATGACGTAACTGTTGCTCTTTCATTTTCACGCGTCCTAACAAAATAATTTACAGCCGGAAAGGCATACAAAACAATGATATTAAACTTGCTTAGAGATGTTTTTCATTTCAAAAAGCTATACATTTGTTGGAAAAGAGATCACTATATTTCAGCAGCAACCAATGTGTCGAGTAGAATTCAGGTGGAGAAAAAAGGAAAGAAATCACGTTGTTCGAAAATGGCAGCTGTTTATTACGAAAAAAAGGAAGGAAAACAGTGGACATTAAAAAACGGCTTAAGTCGACATTAAAAAACGGCTATGTCGTCTGGAAAGCAATACTCTAATGGTTACCCTGTGTGCTTCTGTCGTTGCAAATAATTAAGTATCCTTCGATAAAAAGCAATCTCTCTCTCTCTCTTCTTCTTCTTGTCTTCCTCATCAGTCTTTACAACATTCTTCCATGGATTATCAACGAAAGAAGCGATCTAAATAGCGCCATGATGTCGCGCGTTCAGAAACACTCGTTGCATCTTTTTCTTTACGCAATAACCGATAACATCCCATCAATTATTTAAATATTTAAATATTTAAATAAATATTTCTTAATGCCTCGTCTCGTAAGTACTTGCTCTCTCGTTCGTATAATTAAGTTCAGCGATTATATCACCGTTTATCTTAAGCTACGCGATTATACAGGGAAAACGATCACAAAATAAAAAACTAGGCACTCGATCGAAGCGTCCTGAATTGAAAGAACTCACTGCCGTGAATCACATAAGATATTGCTTACTGGAACAATCGTTCGTTACGATCCATCACGCTGATCGATTTATTAATATATTTAAAGATATTAAATCAAGAGAATTTGCCACGATCCTCTCCTAAAGGCAATGATTCTAATTTCTCTTTTTCCTTCGATTTCTCTTTTAACGTCGCTTCCACGCGCAAGTGGCTTCCCTGACAAACATCTACATCTGCGTCTAATCGTTATCGCCTATTACTCGACATACGTTTGTCGCCAACATCACCAAAATTTCGAGGCCAACTCGAACATCTTCGAGATTCTTCCTGCATCGATGTCTATCAAACGATAATTCGACCAAATTATTTCTCGTTTTCAGTTCGTTCTCAATCTTTCTCGACAAGTTATTTATCATTTTTAACTTCCTAAACCATCTCGACGAATCGTTTATCATTCTTAACGCTCTCAATCTTTTTCACGAATTATTTGTCATTTTCAACATTCTCCAACGAACATTCTTTCCGACGAATTACATACTTTCGACATCCGTAAGAATTCGTCGATTCTATTCTCCATTATCAAAAGAAAATTCGACAAATTATCAAACGTTCCTGATGTTCTCGATACTTCGCTCTTTATCGACTTCCTCGAAGGAAAATTCTCACGTAGTTAAAAGAAAATTCGACGAGTTACTCGATACTTTCACGGATCGAATAAACACATTGCAAATAGTTACAAGCTATTGCTTTCGTACAGAGGCGTGGTTTTGGTCAACTTCAATGCCCTCAGCTGTTTGTATAGTCGTTGCTTGCAGAACTGATAGAATTCGATTTCCCTGGTGAAATTGCTTCGCACTATGTCCTTTACTTCTTCGCTGACTGGTGGCTTGAAGAAGTTTCGATTGATCCTCGTAAACGCGTTCACCTCATCTGAAAAAGAAAATTTTCTCAGTCATCGTGTTTCATCGTAATACGAACATAAAATATTTTTCATAATTATACATACGCAGTTTAACCAGTTTTTGTTGACAACAGCACACGAATATTAGCAAAATATGTAAATGAATGAGAAATGTCCAGAAGCAATACTCATCATCTTCTTATAAAATCATTAAATAATAAACTTTAATTGCTTCGCGTTACGTCAAAATCAAGGAGGAATTCATCGATAAACCTACTGAGTTTCATCAAAATTTGTTAAATATCAGTACCTGAATTAACGTAGACGATTTTTTTTTATCAGTTTGGAAGAAACTTCCTTATCTGATCTGTATCTTAGAGATGTTAAAGAACAGTATGCGAATTTTTTTCAGCTGAACGCATCTTTTTGGAGGTATTTTAGTTCGATAGAGCCGAAAACGAGGAGCATTTTGAAAATTCGCTGTTACGAATATCTGGCACACAAAAAACTGTAAAAATCCGCGTAAGACCATAATCGTGCAAAGCGGTAAGTGGCAAAACAAATGATGTAAGCGACGACAGTTGGTATAGCCAATGCCAATGCTCTAAATGCTAATTTTAACGCCTACCGTCTCACGGCAGCCAAAATATAGAAAATAACCCGAACCTAATCCAATACTCGGGATTCAAATGCATACACAGTAAGCCATAGAGCAACTTAGAAGCAGCAAATTTTTAAAAAATGTCATCAAAATCGTACGAGGACGTCGCATATTAACAAATTTTTTCACAACCGAAATTTTTCCCGTCTTATTTTTGGTTTCAGCGACCTGAGAAACCTCTAAAAAGCGTCATTCCAGCCAAATATTTTGCAATCCAAATACGTAGCTAATGGATGAGCAGCTACTGTTGCTTCCCATGAATAATTCATTATTAATTTTTACATTTTATATTTTGATAAAATTCACGAATTATTACTATCAACATACTAAATTTGCGCAAATGGAAAGAAGTTCTCTGAAAGGAGTGCGGGCTTGATTGGTTGTTTTTGACAAACTCGACACGACAGTAAAGTTAAGCTCATCTTTTGACTGAAAATGTCACGTATATTCAAGCGAAACAACGTTTTAATCTCCACGTTATACTTAATCCTATATAACTGTCGATCGTTAGCTAGAAAATAATCAGAACGAAATATTTTTCCAATACGAGATTGTTCTAACGCAACCATCGATTGTTAATTAAAAGTTAATTACAACGAGGTATTCTTCCCTGTATGATTGCTTTGTAGCGGTGTAAAATATTTGTTTCATAGTTATCGTTGGTTGGCGAAGGATTTACAGTTACATGCAAATAAGAGAACAAAAGAATTACCGTAGTAGACGTCAGTGGCGCCTCGGAAAAATCGGGGTATATAATTTTCCAATACCGTGAGAGTGGTATTTACGTCCTCGAGCACTCCGACGACCGCATAGTGTTTCTCCACTGCCATCTTCGCTCGTTCCAGTGCGCCCACTGTGTTGAACGGGCTTCGAACAAACGACAATTGATGAGTATGACAGGTGCTTGAAGTATGGTGTGACAAAAGGCAAAAACATAGAATCAAACGAATGGCGCGAACAAGGTGTGAATAATGCACAATGTATTCTAGGTTGGAAGAATCTTTTGAAAAACTCGTCGAAAGAATCTCTTGAAAAACTCGTTGGAAGAATCTCTTGAAAAACTCGTCGAAGGAATTTTTAGCTTGATTTCTTTGTTACAGTCTTAGAAGCAAACGAATACGCAACAATATTGTCGTCTTTGAGAATCACAGAATTTTGATAGCTATCAATTTGTATTCTACTTGTCCTTTCAATCAATTTTTAATTTATGCGATATATATATATATATGATAATGTACATTCGCATATATGTATTAGATCGTCCGAATAGTTTCCTTCGTTTTATAAGGAAATAATGGATGTACAACATTTTCCATTTTATATTATTTTATCGAATTACGTATGATCCATTTTGTTCTATCAAAATAAAGATCGCAACGTTCGACAGATTAGGTTTCATATTTGTATAAAGATACATTGTTGTAAAAGACGTGTCTGTAAAAGAAAGACACTTTTCGGACAACCTAATATGTACGAATTTTTGAATAAATCTCGTATCCTCAAGATGTATACGCACTCTTGACCACTATACACTACAGTATACACTATATACTATATATGTGACAAATTTTCAAATTCTACAAGCTCTGTAAACTCTACTATATATAACTTATAACTTAATTCACGATTGTTCGACCAGCGATTTTTAACGCATGATATGTAGCTCAAGAAATCTTACTCATCTGCATCAACCTAATAATCGAATCTCTCATACGCCACAATTTGCTTCAGTCAAACAAATCAACGAGTACCTTCAAAGTTACTCGTTTCAGAGGAAAATCCATCGAGCAAAGCGTTTAAACGTAATTTCTTCCTTCTATTTATTCGCATAGCGAAGGAAGATATGCACAAAGGTAATCCCAAGGTACAATTTAAAGGGACCTACGTGCATTTCTCGCTGTGACCGCAGAAGAAAAGCGTTTGCCTGCGATGATCGCCGATTCCCTCGTGAATTTCACCCTCGAGGTATCTACATTCACGGTCCGCCTTAAGTACACAGGACTCGAAGTCCTTCTTCAGCCAGTTCGGATCCGGCAGTGGTAGGTCTGGAAATATTTGCTTTCTCTCGACGTAATACCAAGGTGCTCGCACGTAATAGTACCAGGATATCACTCTCTCAACAGGATCCCGGACTATGTTGATGTAAATTGGCTGTGGCAGGTTGAATCTAAACGAAAAAACGTTCCACGTTAGACATCTCGTGGGAATTTAGCTTACGTTACCTCCGGCTATCTGACTTCTACTCTTCCAGGAAATCCGTTTTTCATCTTTATTTCACGTTTATTTATGTATCATCATCTATCACGGGTTGTCGGTAAGAATGGCGGATAAAGGGATTTGTAGCGGAACTCGATTATTCTGGTTTATTCCTCTTTGGCTCTTTCACGGTTTCATACATTTTTACAACGATGATAGAGGTATAGTAGAATCTTGATCGATAGAACGTCGATAAATAGGAAAAATCTATACTAGCGTCGTGTATTTTCTTTTAGAATTTAATTCTCTAAAATTCAGTAAAATTTACACAGTTTTTATCTCAGAATGTATAGAGTAGTATAGGGAAGAACTGATAGAATTTTAAAGTAATTGGAGATTATTTAATGTTGAAATACTTACTCTGTGAAGTTTGTGAAACACACGTGTTTTATATAGACAGATGGTTCTGAATAGCTGCTGACCATCCTGGCGAGTTGTAGCTAAAACAAACAGGCAATTAATCGTATAAAAGTATAATTTTTTATTTTATTTTCTTGCTTACCCTGAACTTTTACATTTTACAAAAATTAAAGATTATATATACTTATATATATATATGTATACTTATGTATAATCTTTAATTTTTGTAAATTGTAAAGGTTCAGGATTTTCATCGTTCACGCGCCTCTATTTTTTAAAGGAATATTAATAAATGTAGAAATAAATATTAAAAATGTAACAGTATTTCATAAATTTTGTTAGGTACCTGTTCGATAGGCGCAAGACGAATTGTTTCGACTCTTTGCACACGATCTCTGTTGAAGGAAAAGCCATTCCTCATGGACAGCCTTCTCAAGAGTTCCATGAAGGTTTGAGAGCCCACTTTCGGTACACGATTGAAGAACAGGACGCTCCGGTCCGCTCTTTTTGTGTTGTTGAGTGCGTCAATGTCCAACACTTCAGTTTCTTTGTACTGAAACCAGGTAAAATATCTTAAGATTTTCATTCTATTGTTCCCTTTCTAATTTTCTTATTTACGCTATTTATTTTGTCTTTCGCTTTTTCTCCGCTAGAAATGAAATTTTTCTTTCCATTTTCCCGACGTATTAATTTAAGCTGTAGTTAATTATAATTACGAAACTTCTAAGTATGTCATGCTTTTTATCAAATGTAATTCAGTCAAACGACGATAATAAAAAGCAATAATTATATTTGTTTGTTACGTTATGTTACCCAATACAACGAATTACAAGCCATAAATACAAATAAATTAATGTAGAAAACAAATTAATTATAAAATGATCAATAATAATAATATTCGAATATTTCAATCGTATCTAATTTTGTTACATTAAAAAGAAACGAAAGAAAAGAACAAAAATCACGATTATATTTTCTGTGATAAAAATTAATTTATTCTATACACAGAATAAAACGTAAAACATTTCGCTTCTTCTCAATTTATGTCAATTTTAGTTATGATCTTGTTGGTGCATGCAAGTATCAAGCAGAAGGTAGTTGTCACGACGTTAATCATAGGTTTCTCTCTTTCGTCTGGAATCTTCATTTTCTATCCAGTGGGAGAGTTATCCCATTCCCTTTCGTTGAACAACTATTTATAATATCGGCAAGTCATTCTAGGATATACGTGCAACGAGTAATTACTGCCTTGTTTCACCTCGTCTTCTGGGTAGTTTCAGCGGTCAGTACAAACGATCAAAGAAAGATATTAGATAATTGAGCGCGCGAGGAACGTAGATGCTACTCAATCTTTTCCGAACCTTGAAAATACACGTTTAAAATCTGGTACTCGATGGAAAATGAAAGTATATAACAAGAGAAAAGGATTAAAGATAGTTTAAAAGTTTGCATGCCAAGAAGTGAATGAATCGCTATTAATTTTCATTGTCAACTTGCAATTTGATTCTTTCCGATTCTTTTCTTCAAAATGCGTAATTTCGATTGCATTCGATTTCGACTTTTATGGAACTTTCGTGGCTTTGAAATCTTTGCAAAACGAGCAGTTTTATGCACAGACTTATAATTATTACACAATATCGCGGAATTATTAGCGATAATCGTTAGTTAGAAATAAATGTAATAAGTCGGAATTTTTTTTTTATAGGAAAAGTATAGAAAAAAATTAGACAAATGATCGGAAATTAAGGCAAAGCTCGATTCTTCAATTTTTAATTATTTCTCCTTTTACTATAAAACGTTGAATTATAAATACACTTGAACAAGACGGAGGAACACTGATTTCCATTTCCAACGTTCTATATCTGTTTTTTCGTTTTTGGCAGGATGACCACAATTGCAGGTAATTTCATTTGACACTGACGATAATAATCCTTAACGGAAGATATCGAGTTTACATTTTGATTTTCCTCATTTCAGTTTCATTTCTTCGTTATCAGAATGGCTATTTTTCCAACCTTTGTCTCTCGTATCCTCTTCCTTTTCTTCTGTTACGTTCGGTTGAGCATTCACTCGACATGATCAGGTCGATCAGAAAAACATCGGACCAGCGCTTCCGCAAATTTATCGTTAATGTAGAATTCAGCCTTGTGGAAACTACTCGACGAGCCTTCGATTGCTTATTGCTTCGAAATTTGCTCGAGCCTTTTAAGAGGATGCTTTCTTCGAACGATAACTGCAATTTCTCGTTTGCTCGCTAGTTATTTTATTTTATCTCACGGATGCAGTAACTCTACGTTTATTCAGGTACCACATACAAACAGAATAAATCAAACGAATGCTAATAACTTCTACCGCTAATTGCACTTGTAATTGCTTGTATTAGGTTGTCCTGAAAGTATCTTTCTTTTACAGGCACGTCTTTTACAACGATGCATCCTTATACAAACATGAAACCTAATCTATCAAACGTCGTGATATTTATCTTGATGGAACGAAATGGATCATACGTAATTCGATAAAATAATATACAACGAAAATGCTGTGCATTCATTATTTTCTTATAAAATGAAAGAAACTTTTCGGACGACCTAACAGTATATGGTCACTTCTAGATGTTGTGATGTCACTCTAGACGTGACCTGTAATTGTAATGCACTGTGTTATAGCAAACATATTAATATTTCGACGTGACCATTTTTTAAAAGATGGGAAATATTGAAACATTCCATACCACAGAAGAAATATTGATACCTTAGATTTATTGTCTACTTTTAGTTTGGAAGGTTTATTATTTAGTTTAGTTTAGAAGGTTTTAGAAGGTTTAGGTCTTTTAGCCCAACAAGTTCGTCTTTTCATCCGTATCGTGTTAAAATATTTCGTCGATCCATCGAAAGGCGACGTTAAAATCAGAAACTTAACATGGTTTCTACTGTGGTGCCGTATGATTTTCTGTGACAATAGCGGGGAAGATTCGAATCACAGATTAATCGATTCCAATTATCGTGGAATAAATTTTTCTATTGTACCATGTTTCATTGCCTTTTCATTTCGTTTTCACGCGTACAACGCGGCTATAGTTTTCAATAGAAATTTTTAACGAACAAAATATTTAACATATAGCTTCTACGATCGTAATATATTTCAGTTACATATTTTCTGCTATGTCTATTTTGTATTTATTTCATTCCGAATACTTTTTATCATTTATTATGAATAAAGCACGTAAACGTATAAAGTAAACTTGTACATAAATTTCAGAAAACTGATGCAGTTCATAAAATTATTTACGACTTGAATTCTCTTTTCTCCATAAGCTGCTCAAATATACAGGGTGGTTGGTAACTGGTGGTACAAGCGGAAAGGGGGTGATTCTACGCGAAAAAAGAAGTCGAAAATATAGAATAAAAATTTTTCGTTCGAGGCTTTGTTTTCGAGAAAATCGACTTTGAATTTTCGCTCGGTACGCGTGCGGTACGTTATGCTCACTATATATCGTTGTCTCAATGAAAAAATTAAAAAAAAAAGAAAAAATTAAAAAAAAATTTTTATTCTATATTTTCAACTTCTTTTTTCACGTAGAATCACCCCCTTTTCACTTGTACCACTAGTTATCAACCATCCTGTATGTGCCAGGCTGCACACAGCAAGGCACTTGATCCTTCTTTTCATTCGAATCTCAAGAAAGTAGCAAACAAACTACCACTCAACGATTATGTACGTACACATAACTCCTGTCACACGTTGTATAGAAGACGTAATAGCATCGGGCTCGTCTTTCTTTTCCTGTCCTCGTGACTTGGCATTATGCCACGAATACATTACATCGTTACATTATTAGTAGATACATGCGTTTGCATGCTTCTTCCTCGTTTACGGATTCCCTGATCCTTTTCTTCCTGACGTTTTTCCTCCTCCGAGTCTTCCTGAACTTTACATTTTAAACTTTCACGATGATTATTACAGGACATATTTTTGGATTTTAAGTTGGAAAAATTTACCAAATGTCTAGCCGGACAAATTGTAAAGTACAAATTAAATAATAATAAAAAAGAATATTTTTGGATTCTTGGGATTCTCATTCTAATAGCACGTTGCGCTCTTTTCCGACGTTTCGTGAACATTGTCCGCTTCTTCAGAGCAGATCTAAAACAGAAACTGTTTGGATATCGATAAATTTGAACGAATACTATTCTTAAAAATTTGTTCCCGCTAAATTTCATCCCAAATTATTATTCAATATCGAATAAGAAGTAGAAAAGTCACGGGAGAGTTAGGGTTTCGTTATTAAAATAAAATTCGCACGAGGTGAAGTTTCACCCACGATAGATCTTCAGGATTAATATAATATCGAAGCTGAAACTGTTTCGCCTCTACTACACGAAGATACGAACAATGTTCACGAAACGTTGGAACAAAGGACAATGCGCTATTAAAAACACAATCGAAACTCGAGGACCCACACATACATACGTCAATTCTTTACGAATTATGCTTCCCACTATCGACCATATTTGCATAATTTATGATGATTACATAATTTGTCTCGTGATTATCTTTCTAACGACCAACATTGAGAATCTCGTATTTACCTCCACTACTTTCTTTTAATAATTGCAACCTTGTATATAATAATATAACTATGTTTCTCTTGTCCTTTCTAGTCTTTCTTTTTTCTTTCTTTTATTTTTATTTCAAGCGCAGAGCGGAAGAGCGAGTTACTATAATAATGTCGAGTCATGAGTATTTAGTCACTTGACACTGGGTGTTGGGGTCTTCGACTGGATTCTATTGGTTCTTTTTATCGGGGCTCGTGTGTTTGCTTTTCTTTAGCTTCCGCTTGGTAATTGTTTGATACGAACATGTGGGCCCTTTGTTTGGTTTAATGATGTAATGATGTTATTTATTTTTGTTTTATTAGAAAGGAACGATATACAATAGCAGTGGAAAATTAAACGTAAAGTGAAAAATAAAAAGAAAGGGCAACTTGAACGCACATTGATTTTTGTTAAATCAATGTGTTTAAATATTCCGATAAACGACGATATTATTTTCACCTTTTTAGATTCAAGTCTAATATAGATATAATGCAAATTGCTATTTTTGTTTAAAGATCGAGCCAAATAAAATCTTTATCCAGGAAAGTTTCTACGTTACTGTAAGCGAATATGTAGAAAGTATAGATGGAACGTTATCTAAAATTTATTGAGAGATTAGAATTGAAATTTGTTTTAAATTAGATTATCAATATAGATTTTATTTACTAAAATAGAAATTTGAGTGCAGGAAAAGCATAGGATGAAAGCATAAAAAATTCAAGGTGAAATTTTCATGAACGCGGATGCTCTTTCTTTTGTTCTTAAATTATTAATGCAAGGTTTCTTGTTAAAGATAATTAACTTTCCGATGAATCGATCTATATAATCGTACGATATATAGTCATGGCGGAAACAGTCGGTGGAATGTAAAGTTTTTCACTGGGACATACATATTTTGCAATCCCTTTTATAAAATAATTATCGGAGTTTCACGTTTCTTTGATACGCTATTTATAAG